ATGAGCCAACTGAAGAAACTGCATACCAAAACTATACGCAGGAATTTTGAGAACTCCTAACGGCCTATGAGCATACTTGTTTAAGAAGCTCTTCTATACTTAAGAGTTGACAAATACCAACCGCTTGCTGATTGAATTACATAAAAAAAAATACTAAAATTCCATTGGAGAGGATCTTATCCTCAGATGTAATTACTGAGTCAAATGATATAGAAAAGCAGCACCAGTACAGCAAACAAATCTGTTCAAAAACTCTATATTTTCACCAATACCAGAGGTTTCGCGGGGCTGTACACAATGTGATAGGAACAAGGGTTCTGGTATAAAGGAGAGGTTGAAAATCTGGCCAGCTCTAACATGTTGTAATTTAACGCTCCCATACAGACAGCCTGGACCCATGGAATCCAGGGTTACAAAGTATACGTCTCAAATCAGAACAGTCAAATTTAAAATGCTTGAGGAAATCAACAAGTTGGACATTGACATGCCAAGTCTCAAACAGATGAATCCAAGCCTTTTCTCCTTCCCCAAACTAAACAGACCACTTTCCTTTCAAGCGTCTCCAGTGATAGCAGTATTCAGCTTGACTTTAGGAGCCATGTTATAAATGCTGGATTTCAACTGAGCCCAGCAATGTGCTGGTAATGTGGAAGGTGAGCCAAAGGCACATCAGATCCACAATATCCAACTCATTGCAGAGCAGACCCCAAACAGGCATGGTGAGGACAAATCACTGCCACTGTTTTGTGGCTGTTATTATTCTACGTGGCACAGAGGATTTTACATATATAAATGATTTCAGAGAAACCCAAGGCTCCTACAGAGCAGGTGCTATGCTCCTACTAACAGTTTACAGGTGTTCACATTAACAGTAAGTTCTCCAGTTCCACTCAATAAAGTATAAATAAAACCTTTAAACTGATTTAGGCACATCAAATGAAACTGAAGCAAATCCTCAGAGTGCTGTGGTGTCAGTGGCAGGAAATGGAGTCAAGTCAATACCACCATATCCCAGGCCTTTGGCAAGTCAGCTTCAGTCTTTACCTAGAAAATACAGCTACTATCTCTACTTTGCATGTTTATTGTGACTCTTAAGAGATAATTTACATAAAACAAAGGTGTGCAATCATGTACCTGCAATAATAAAGACAACAAAACACTTCTAGAGGCAGTTAATGTTCCTAAAAAGTAAGCCTCAGCACCACTTGCAAACTAAGAATGTCAGTGGATAAAGGGAATATTAAAGCCTCCCAAACTCTCAATTTTCACTTTTCAAATACCGTTACTGAGGCAATTTATTTTGAACTGGTTGAGACAGTCAGAAAGCCCTACAACAACAAACCAGTCTTATAAAGCAACTGTTCATTACTCATGCAAAGTATATTAAGAGATGTTAAATATTTGGGCAGGTGCTCTGGGATATTTTTAAAAAGAAAAAGATACACTTGATATCCTAAAGAAAACAAACACATATTCCCTATAGTTCTTCAATAAGCCCCAACAATGTTTGACTCACTGATTCAAAAGAAAGGCACTGCACTTTAAAAGAATCACAAACTTATGAATCCAACTGTTGGGGAAAATACACAATCCAAGGAGTGCTAATTCAGAGTTCTTAATTCATATTACCTAGCTGACTCAGTTGAGAAGACAAAATCAAATAATCAAATAGCCAGATAGATAACTTTATATGGGATAATGTCCAAATGCCTTTAAGAGGTTTTCACATTCTGGATTCTTTTAGAATGAGTTATACCAAGTCTCCAGAAGAGCTGGGCACATCTATCTTGCCAGGAGCTAAGTATCATATCACAATGCCCTTAATATAATAGAAACACCCTCATCATTGTTCAATTTCACTGTTACTCAGAAGATTAAAAAAAGATTTTTAGGTCTATTTCTGTTCTAGATTAACCAATTAACTTTCAGTTTAAATTTCTTCTTATGAAATTTCCTTTTCATAAAAAAGACTTAACTCTAGATTTAAAAACATGCTTAAATCAATACTCTGGAGTCCACTAACTACCTTTTCTTTTGTATATCTGAAACTGCAAAAGGATAAATTCAGTTAGCTACCAAAACTCCCTGGTAACATGTCTACCTACTTTTTCTTGTAATAAAAATCCAATGTTAGTTATTCCTGAAAGATTCTTGCGCCTTCTTAAGTTTCCATTCTTTGTCTAATAAAACTTAGATATAACCAAATAATGTTTAAACCTACAGCCTAGTACTCCTTTTTGAAACATTATCATCCTTTAATCATATTTTCTAAATTTTTCAAATTTATTTCTCTTTAGACTCCCCATTACTTAGAATTTCTAATAAATTAGCATATAATAAGCATATTGTTAGAAAATCCCATTGTAACAATCATAAACTACCTTGCTTTTCATTCGCACTCTTCATACAGCACAATATGAAGGTAGGAAAAGAAGCTGGTGTTATTTTAGCTTTAAATAGTAAATGATTTCTGGCTCATTTCTTCCTCATTTCTTACTAAGAATTATAATACAAACACAGAAAGTTAGCTTTCAAAGATTTTAAGAGGAAAAAAATTCAAAGACTTGGAAAAAAAATGTATACTTTATCAACATTCTAATCCTAAATCACCTGAAGGGCTTTATCTCACAAAGCAGCAGTTTCTCCCCTAAGGAATTTTCCTTCTTTCCCTCTTGATAGACTGAAAATTTTACAGCACAATCACCCACTCACATGATTTCAGAGAATGAGCAGATCATCAGGGCCAAGATTCTTGTTTATCAGGAACAGAGGCCCCAGGTGTGGACAGCAGAGGCTGAGGTAGCTAACACACAGGTTGCCACTGCCTGGCAGAGATACCTCACTGCTGTGTTTGAACCCTGGGAGTGAGCACATGTCCCTCCTCTAGTGTCTTCAAAAGAAAATTGAAACATACAGAACCATACACATGTGAAGTGTTTAGCGTTGGTAACAGTATGTTAACTAAAGCTCCAGCCTGTAATAAATGTCTTAAAATTATAGAGTCCACCCGGGGCCTTCCTGATGGCACATGGGGTAAAGCATCAGGGAAATCAAGTTATCACCAGCCATCTGGTGGAGTTCCATCCTGGGCCAGGGAGCTGACCACCCCACAGACCTCTCATCTCACCCACTGCAGCAGCAGCATATTTCAGTAAATCTGTCTGCTCTGCCCCACCCCCAATCCTCTCACTGCCACCTCGGCCTACGTGAGATCTCTTGTATACATAATAAAATTTTTTTTTTAAGTCCACCAAAATGGGAGGTTCTGCATATCAATTTGTGAGCTGAAGGAAACAAATGACAGGTCGGAAGACTCTGGGTTCAGTAGGAGGTAAAATGGCTTACTTAGCAGTGGAGGGAATGAGATAAATAAACACAGGCTTTCAAAATAAAGTGATTTGGGAAACTAAACCACTATCTAGCCACTAGCCATTGCCACGCAATGTCAATATGCACGAAGAGGGTCTCATACAGTGACAGTACTAAAATCAAGAGTTTAAAAAAAGGGGGGGGCAGGGGTTTCAATTAAAGAAAAGCAGTGTTAAATTAGATTTGAAAACAAATCTTCCTGACTTAAGTTGCCAAGCACTTAAGGGAGGAGACTGAATTAAGTGCAACTGTGTTGCTCTCTATGTGGAAATATGTATACAAAGAAGTTATTTCCCGAGGAATTCAAGCTATATTTAAACTAAACATTGCAAAATAGTCACTGTAAAGTTCATCAACTTTATCTAACCTTTACCACAGTAATGCTAATGTGTGACTCCACCAAGATTATTCACTCAGTTAATTCAGGAAAGTTAAGTGAACTCATTCAGGAAGTGCCAACAGCTCTCAGGTCACTGGAAAGGTGACACTGCTTCCTGTGTCCTATCTTCATTCAACAGACCCCTATAGAGGCTCTTCCAAAAGCTGGTTCTGTGTTTGGACTCATGTCCCGTGCAAGACAGCCCAGTCAGTAAATCAAAAATTACAATACCGGGCGATGAGTACCTGTATAGCTACAAGGATGGAGCAATAAAGGCCAGCTGACCCTATTATTTGCTTCTTGACAATGGCTTTATTAAAGCATTCAATGGGTTTCAGATGTTTCCATTTCCAGTTCCTTGTAAATACAAAGTTTCTCTCCTGGTTATCAACCAGCAAATATTACAAGAGAATGTATCTTTCCATTCCTCATATGCTACCGCAGTCTCTAACCTATCTTTTGGACTTTAGGCAGAACTAAATCAATTGCAGAGTTAACAGAAATTGCTCACAGTGCCCAACCTCTCCCGCATGGCCTCGGGCCTGCTTTTTATATTCCCACGAGGTGCGAGTGAGGATGATGCCCTTCAAGCAAAGTGAGGATGAAGCACCGGGAGACCTGCCCAACAAGGGCTAAGCCTCCCCAATCCTTCCCCTGAGTCTCCTTGGGGGCTCCACAGCTGCCACCCACCTAGCATCACCGGGCATACTTTTTCACTGAGAATAATCAACATCAAACATTAACATATAAAAGGCCATTACATCGTAAATAGTTCACAACTGATTTTATCTTGTCAAAGCACTGTAAAGCTAGCCGGGCCAAGCTTTAATAAATAGTAACGCTTAACGAGCATCTCTGGGAGGCAAAGACCTTGAACAGGGCCTAGCCTGAAACCAAGACTTTTTTCCAATTCAAACAAGAGTTTGGAAAAATAATGCCCAAATATGCATTTTATCTTAGCCAAGCCACTCCAGTAATCCTTCAGAGCATTTCCAAATATTCAGATTTTCAGCACTCACTGAAGGGACGTGTGAGCTTTTCTGCTTCTCATAAGAGTGACATTCTGCTTCAAAATGTCATATCACTTTTTCAATGTTAGTCTTAAAATTTGTTCAGGCGGGTGGAGAAAATGGTGATCCGCCGGACTCAAAAAGAAAAAAAGCTCTCACGGTCAACTGTATGTTACCATGCTCGATGTATAGACTTAAGCCTTGTAGAGGGAAGGCGCTTTGAGAAAAGAGAAACGACTCACTTAGAATCCGGTCTACAGCCTGGAGGCAGAGGCACGGGGCAAACAGACAGCCGGAGAGGAATTAGCACCAACTTCCCAGCCGCGGCGTCCCCGCGGATCACGTGCCGCGAGCGCC